GATAGACCCTGCCCTCTTTGCGAGACCAAAGATCCTCTGTTTTAGCTCCTCACTGGAAAATTCTGGAGACCATTATTGAACCATTGAAGACATAATAACAGGCCAGGCATAGTGGCTCATGCCTGTAATCCTAACACTTTGGGAGGCTGGTGCTGGAGGATTGCTGGATACCCGAGTATGAGACCATCCTGGGCAACATAGGGAGACCCCATCTCTACAAACATTTTTAATAATTAGCCGGAAGTGGTAGTGTGCATTTATGGTTCCAACTACTCAGGAGGCCGAGGCAGGAGAATGGCTTGAGAACGGGAGGTCAAGGATGCAGTGAGCCATGATCATGCTCATGCCATTGCACTCTAGCCTGGGCAACAGAATGAGAACGTCTTTCAAAAACCAAAAGAAACTCATAATAACAGTACAATAAGTAACCAATGTCTGGACCCTTCCCAGGCTAGTTGAATCAAACCTCAGGGCTTCCTTTCTCGTAAAGGTTTCCAGGCAATGCCAGTATGCAGCTCCCCTTGAGAACCTACCTCTCCAAAATGAGAGGTCAAAACCAAAAGAAGAAAAGGAATAAGATTAACGCTTACTGAGGCCCTACTACAGGCCATGTGCTTAATCTTTTGTAATTTTCCCAGCAACTGGAAAATGATTCCCATTTTACAGATTTGTAAACTTCTCAATTATTTAACCAGAGAGGCTAAGCAATTTCCCTAAAGTCTCAAAGCTTGTAAGTGGCAAAAAGGAGACTTGAGCTTGGATTTGTGTTCATGTTACCATACTACCAAGCTAAGAAACACGCCACTGACCCACATTGAGGACTCAGAAGAAATCAAGTCAGACTTAGAGGAACTGGGGCTTGGAGCAAGTTAGAATTTTAGTAGAAGATATTTAGAGAAGGTTTCCAAGGAGAACTAACAATAAGGCAGAAATACCTGAGTGGGAGAGAGGGGGATGTTATATCAGAAAGGGAGAGAAGCAGGAAAAGAAGAGATAAAGAGTGAAGAAATATTTATATTACATTTACTATCCTAGTTTCACAACCCTATGCAGTAGGAACTATTACTATCCCCCTTCTGCAGGTGGGAAAACTGAGGCCCAGTGAGGTTAAGGAATATCTTCAGGTGACACAGCTGGTCAGAGGCATTGTGTGGGTTTACCTGGGTCCTGGATCCAAGTGCCTGGCCACGCATTGTTTATACTGCCCATAACTTTTCAAAGAAAGGGAAAGAGGAAGGAAAAGCAAATAGGATTTATTTTGTTTAATGGTCCAGAGCAGGCATTTTGCACTCATTATTTCACTGGTTCGCTTCAGGATCCTTGAGAGGTGAATACCACCTTCGATTTGCATTGAGAAAATGGAGGGTTGCCCCTACAGAATGGGAGAAAATTTTTGCAATCTACCCATCTGACAAAGGGCTAATATCCAGAATCTACAAAGAACTTAAACAAATATACAAGAAAAAATCAAACAACCCCATCAAAAAGTGGGCAAAGGATATGAACAGACAATTCTAAAAGAAGACATTTATGCAGCCAACAGACACATGAAAAAATGTTCGTCATCATTGGCCATCAGAGAAATGCAAATCAAAACCACAGACACCATCTCACACCAGTTAGAATGGCAATCATTAAAAAGTCAGGAAACAACAAATGCTGGAGAGGATGTGGAGAAATAGGAACACTTTTACACTGTTGGTGGGACTGTAAACTAGTTCAACCATTGTGGAAGACAGTGTGGGGATTCCTCAAGGATCTAGAACTAGAAATACCATTTGACCCAGCCATCCCATTACTGGGTCTATACCCAAAGGACTGTAAATCATGCTACTGTAAAGACACATGCACACATATTGTTTATTGTGACACTATTCACAATAGCAAAGACTTGGAACCAACCCAAATGTCCATCAATGATAGACTGGATTAAGAAAATGTGGCACATATACACCATGGAATACTATGCAGCCATAAAAAAAGGATGAGTTCATGTCCTTTGCAAGGGACATGGATGCAGCTGGAAACCATCATTCTGAGCAAACTATCGCAAGGACAGAAAACCAAACACCGCATGTTCTCACTCATAGGTGGGAATTGAACAATGAGAACACTTGGACACAGGGCGGGGAACATCACACCCCGGGGCCTATTGTGGGATGGGGGGCAAGGGGAGGGATAGCATTAGGATAAATACCTAATGTGAATGACGAGTTAATGGGTGCAGCAAACCAACATGGCACATGTATATGTATGTAACAAACCTGCACGTTGTGCACATGTACCCTAGAACTTAAAGTACAATAATAAAAAAAAAATTAAATTTTAAAAAATCAGAAAAAAAAAAGAAAGAAAACTGAGGGTTGCCATGGTTGGTCAAAGTATCTTAAATGAGGTCTCAGCAAAACTGAAGCAGCAGAGTCCACATTCACCTAAGTCAGCTAACCCCCAACCCACGTGCCACAGAACACCACTCAAGTTAGAAAGAGTATTAAAATATTGAAGGCCAAAAACACAGCACATAGACCTCTCAGAAGGGAAAAATGGAAAATGGGAAAGGATGGAAATGGATTTCATTTTGTTGATTGAAACTGGGAGATGACTGAATGAGGAAATATTTTGATTTTGTTTGGCCAGGGAAGAGCTGTAAATAGGCAGCAGAAAGTGGTTTGAAGAGAAACATACTAAACAAATGCCAGATATTCTTATCTTTACTGGTTATTTTGAACTTAGGCAAAATAATACTGAACAGAGAGTAAATAACCTAGACAAGTACTTCCCTTAGTGCCCACCTGGGACTATAAAATGCCAGCAGAGAGGTTCACATTTGATTGCACCTGCCCTTGAAAACTCAGTTGAAGTCACTTTGATCACTCCTTTCACTCTACAACTCTTAGCACTATAAATTCAAATTTTCATTGAAGTTCCTTTTGAAATTGCAAAATAATATTGTATATGCTTTATTTCAAAAATGTTTGAGAAAATGGGCAACAAAGGAAAAAGGGTAAGCCCCTGTAACCACCACCACTATCTAGTGAGTAGCCTTCCAGATCTAAGTGCACGCCAATGTGAACACATGAGTATTATCAAATTAATTTTTGGCCAACCATAATTAAATTATTTGTTGTGATAAACAACCTTGGTTTATTCCATTTATATAGGAACTGGAGGAAGAGATTTTTAAAACCAAAATAATGGCTGGGAACATTGGCTCATGCCTGTAATCCGAGCACTTTGGGAGGCTAAGATGGGAGGAACACTTGAGGCCAGGAGTTCAAGACCAGCCTGGACAAAAAGAAAAGTGAGACTCCTATCTCTAAATAATTTTTTTTTTTTTTTTTTTAACTCCAGAGGCTGAGATGGGAGAATCACTTGAAGCCAGGAGTTCCAGGATGCAATGAGCCATGATCATGCTAGTGTACTCACCAGCCTGGGTGAGATCCTGTCTCTAAACAAACTAATAAACAAAATAATTAAATTTCAGGCCTAAGAAAAATATAAGGCAGAAATACCATTTTGAATGAGAGTTGAAATATTCTTTTTTCAATTTGGAGTGGACAATGGAGGAAATTTGATGAAGAGCATCCATCAGCTTGCCTCCCCTGCAGGTCCTCTTACAGCCCTTACATGGAAACGAAGCATTCAGTTAGTATTTCTTGAGTGAATGAGAAATCATTCCCTTTTAGGATGGTTTTGTTTGGGTTAAATGGTATCAATACTAAGAATCTAGAAACACATACACCTAAATATAACTGTTACAGAGTGCTCCAATTTTATTATCAACCTATTTTGGAATATTCAACCGGATTCACTTCCATTTTTTCCACAGTGACATACAAAATTAGTTCCCCTTACTTTTTTATTTTTATTTTTATTATTTTTTTTTTTTTTTTTGAGACAGGGTCTTGCTCTATCTCCCAGGCTGGAGTGAGTGTCACAATCACAGCTCACTGTAGCCTCAACCTCCCAGGTTAGTGATCCTCCCACCTCACCCTCTCAAGTAGCTGGGACTATAAGTGCATGCCACCAGGCTCGGTTGTTGTTGTAGGTACAGGTCTCACTATGTTGTCCAGGTTGGTCTTGAACTCCTGGTCTCAACTAATCCTCCAGCCTGGGCCTCCCAAAGTGCTGGGATTACAGGCAAGAGCCACCGTGCCTGGCTCCCCTGAGTTTTTTTTTTTTTTCTTTTTTTAACCACTTTTGAGTCTTTAAGACTGCCTCATTATTCATCACATTTCACGCACATATACTTGTTCTCCCAAATGAACTGTAAGCTCTGCAGAAGTAGTGGGGTTTCTTTCGATCTGTTTTGTATTCTTCCCAGCACTTGGTACATGCTCTGCACACAGTATATGTTAAACAAATGTTTGCTGACTTTACTGAATATGTTGACTGTATTAGTTTGCTAGAGTTGCTGTAACAAAGTCTCAGACTGGGTGGTTTAAGCAACAGAAATGTATCATCTTACAGTTCTGGAGACTGGGAAGTCTGAAATTGAGGTGTTGGCAGGGTTGGCTCCTTGGGAGGAGTATGAGGGAGAGTTTGATACAGGTCTCTCTCCTTGGCTTGCTGATGGTCATCTTCTCCTTGAGTCTCTTCACTTCACCTTCTCTGATGCACGTCTATTTCTCTGTCCACATTTTGCCTTTTTAGGAGGATGCGAGTCAAGTTGCATTAGGGGCCACCCTAGTGCTTTCATCTTAACTAATAACATCTGCAACGATCCTATTTCCATATAAGATCATATTCTAAAGTAGTTGGGGTTAGGACTTCAACATGTGAATTTTGAGAGCACATAATTCTACCCATAATAGTGACCTTTCACCAAATCATAAACATTCAGCAGGAGATGAAGCTTTAACAATCACGGTAGCCTACCTGATGCTTGAATCCTTTTTTTTACACCAAGCCAAGAAGAGCATTTAGAATTTTAACAGTATATTTGGCAACAGGGTTTTCGGGTTGATTTTATTTTTTAACGCCCTCTGTATGCTTCCCAGAATGGTTCCCGCTACCTACGCCTCGAAGCCTTCACGTTGTCTGGAACAGGTGAGTACTACCTCAGAAAGAGATCATTAAGCAGGATTGGAGAGACATTTCCCTGGATCTCAGTCCACTGAACAGCAGCCCCTGAGCACTTCCATGTGGGGGCTCTAAGCTGTAGGAAGATGCCTCTGGGAGCCCCAGACCCCTGCGAGTCTGTTAGTTTTTCTCTATGAACCATTTTACTTTCAGTGAGTTTGGTCATTAAAATTGTTTTGTGTCCCTCAGCCATGCCCCAGGCCCTGAGAACAGGGAATGTTGGTCTGCAAGAAAACCTAGTGGGTTTATTATTCTCTGACACAGAGAAACCAAATAACATCATTGAGTGGCTATTGGAGGGGGGGCAACTTGATTCATGGGGGTCATGCTTTCCCAGGCCCTCTCTACGCAGTCTCGGCTCAGACCAGGGCAGACTTTTATTACCAGCTTTCAACAAATCCCTAGTTTCTTTTGCAAAGTAAAACAGATAATAGAGACATTCCGGGAATAGTTAGCTAACTAAGCTGTGCCAGGCAACCTCCGGGCTAAGAAGAACTCAGTGTTTTCGGACAATGACCAATTACAATAACCAGTATTATTTGATCTGAGAGTAATTAGCCGAGGCTCTGTTCTTTTTGCTTCAGTGAGGAGGCAAAAAGGGCAGTGAGGAAAACATCAGAGACAGGGGAGACGAGCTCAAATGTCAAAGAAAAACACACTCTTGCAGGTGGGGAGAAGTGGAAGAGTTTCACTGGCCAAGATCCTGACTGAACACTTGAACATTGTTTTTCCCTGAAAATATGGTAGAATTTAACTTAACCAAAAGTCGTTTGAATTCTTCATTCTTACTGTTCATATCCTTTAAAAAGCCTCCACGTCGAGTAAATTTCAGGGTACAAAAGAGCAAAATAGGTAGGGAACATAGAATTGTAGACTACCAGAGGATCTTTCACTGGGAGGGACAGGTCTCTCCAGGACACATGCACCCTCTACTCTTATTTTCAAAAACACTGTATAACCTGAAACTCCCCTTTATTTTGGAGACAGGTACTAGGGAACTGCTGTTTATCACTTCAAGACGTGCAAATGTTCTTTTGAACAGTATAGTCAGGCTCCCTCCTCTCTATCTAGAGATATGTGGATTTCAGCACTGCCCTGTGGCTTTCTTTCATGTCACTATCAGCTTCCAAAGTAAATGGCAACTCTCAACCTGAGAACCATCTTACTACTCCATGCTGCTGCTGCAGCTGCCCCTGTCCCGTGGCAGAAGATAGTTCACCAGCCTCCTGCTATCACCCCACCAGCCTTTCTTTCTAGGGCTGAGCAAGGCTTGAATTCTCTGAATACCTCTCTGGCTTTTCTGACAATACAGCACCCATGGCCTCTGCCCCTTCCCTTGTCCCCTGGCAATATGTATTCACCTTTTCTCAGACTTCTGGCTTCTCTGCTCAGATCTTTAATGCAGGAAGTAATGTCCAGGCTGGACCTGGTGACTCACACCTGTTAATCCTAGCATTTTGGAAGGACAAGGTGGGCAGATCACCTGAGGTCAGGAGTTCAAGACCAGCCTAGCCAACATGGCGAAACCCCATCTCTACTAAAAATACAAAAAATTAGCCGAGCATGGTGGCATGTGCCTATAGTCCCAGCTACTCAGGAGGTTGAGGCATGAGAATCGCTTGAACCCGGGAGGCAGAGGTTGCAGTGAGCCGAGATCGTGCTACTGCACTCCAGCCTGGGAGACAGAGTGAGACTCCGTCACAAAAAAAAAAAAAAAAAAGGGAAGTAATGTTTAGAGGTGTTTAGAGGTATGTTGTCTAATACAGTAGCCACTAGCCACATGTGACTGTTTAACTTTTAATTTACTTAAATTTAAAATTCAGTTATGTTGCACTAGCTGCATTCCAAGGACTCAGTAGCCACATTGGAGTAGTGACTATGATATTGGACAGAGCAAAAATAGAATATCTGCATCATCATGGAAAATTCCATTGGCAGCGTTAGCCTAGATTATCACATGGGAAAATTCTTGGCTCTGGGAAGGGCTCTGTGAAAGGGTTAATATTAGATGGGATATAGACTATGTACCTAGCAGGGTGCTACATATATTATTACATTTAATCCTTATGGATGTCATTCCCAGGTCAAAGAGGAGGAAACTGAGGCTGAGAGAAGTTAAGTAACTTGGCCAAGTTAGTCCAGCTAAGTAAGTGGTAGAGCCAGGGTTCATCTGGTACCCGGGTCTCTGTGGATTTGGCCGTTGAATCAGGTTGCAGATGTGGTGAGTAACAAGCAGCCGAAGTGCCACTGGCTTTTCTACACAATCCCTACAGAGGTGTAGTGGAACCATTCACAGGCCTGCAGATGGATCCCCAGGGCTTGCTTGAGGTTTGATGGTGATCTCATTAATGTGGGCCTAGTAGGTACGCACTCACTTTTTAGATTGATTGGTAAATTGTAGGACAGCTTCTGCAATGTTTCTTCCTAGTATTGGATATATTTCTTACTGTGGGCATCTACTACATCCCAAACTGAGAACATTTAAAAAGTGCCTACTCTCTCCCTGCCCTGTTCCTCTTCCTGTAGGTCTAGGGGGAAAACCAAAGAACCCACTTGAGCTCATACTGACCAGCCTGTCCTGCACTTTGGAGGTCAGTGGCAGTGCTGTGAGTGGGAGACTTTTATACTCAGAGCCAGGCTGTGCTAGGAAATCAAAACTGCTGTCCCAGACCCCTGAGAACAACCAGATTTTAGAATTATGGAGTGATGGGTTAGTAGATGGTGTTTTACACAGTCACAAAACTCAATTTTCATTTTTTCTTATTGTTTGTGTTTCTATTCTGGACTTGTAAGATTACATGTAGCCGTCCTGGCCCCCAGCACATCTTTTAGGATTGATATACAATTTTAATTATTTTCATGACTTTTATAAGCAATGGGGCCTGTGGCAATTCAGGTGGGTTGGAATGAATTTATTATCCTTGCCCACAGGGATGAGCACTCTCTTAGGCTGCTGGCAGAAATGGAAACTGGTACAGCTCTTCTAGCTGATAGTATGAATCTACAGCTCTTCTAGCTGATAGTATGAATCAAATACTTTAACGTGTTGTATATATCCTTCAACCAAGGAACATCAATTCTAAGAATTTATCCTAAGGAAATATAACACAAACCCACAAAGATTTCTCTTTGAGAATATTTGTTACAGCATGATTTTAATAGTACTACCTCCATCCCAACAATAAAGGAAACAACTCAGATAGGAGTCTAGCTCTGTAAATTATGGTATGCCTACATAATCGAATGATAACAGCCAGTAAAATTATGTCCTAGAAAGTGATTCAAAGTTATGGCAAGATGATCAAGGTAGTTAAATGGAAAAAGTAGGTTATAAGAGCATGTATAGTATGATCCCATATTTTGGGAAACAAAAACTATACCTGTCTAAAAGCAAAGGACTGAAGAAAACAAAGACCTAAAGCAATGGTGATTATCTTTGAGTAAAGAGGATTATCTCAGAGTGAAGGGCTAGTCATAATTTTCCTTCTCAATAAGTACTCTGCAATAAGTATGAATTATTTTGGCATTGGAACATTCTCACCTCTTGAAATGTTACTAGAAGGAGTGATTTATCATAGGATTCTTTATCTTTAATAACAGATTCTCATTAATTGGATGGGTGGGTTTTCCTACCTCTGCAAGATACTCCTGGCATGTTTGGTAGTTAACATCACAAACCTAAGAGTAGGAATTCACATTTAGCTTATACGGAAAGGTGCTGGTAGGCAAATTAACATTTGTGATGTTCATTTTTTGTATGCCAATGTTTATTTTTAAAGTAGGGGTTGTAACCAGTGGATAATTGTTCCAGTGGAAGTTAGAGGTGGTAGCCATGTGTACAACTATGACAGTAATGGCAGTTGGTAGCAAGCAAGGCCATAGGTGACAGGAAAAAGCATAATGATACAAACACAGAAGATGTCAGTAAATCATTTGCGCCCAAAAAGCAACATTTGTTCCCCCAGGACTCTTTTCTCAGCCTTGCAAAAAGAGCTCAATGTGCAATAGCAAGGCGGCAATCACTGAGGCGCTTGCCAATGGTCCTGCTACTAGTGCTGCCAGTGAAGGTTTGCGTTCATGTGGGGTGGAGTTGGCTTGTACAGGGGAGACCGACACACACTTGGCTCCTAGGAGGAAGAGCCTTCACCTGCCCACTTTGCCCTGGTGACCACCTCTGCCAGCGAAGGAGAAGGAGAAGCAATGTGCAGCAGTCATAGTTCAGAGGCTGTGAGACTGGAACAAGTCCAGAAACTACCAGAAGCCCTGAAACAACCCTGTGGGGAGGGTGAGGGTAGGTTCTCTTGGTTGAAATGGAAAATCCTAAAAAAGAGGTCCTTGTGTCACTGATTAGTACCTACTCTTCTTTTATTCATTCACCTGGTTTTAAAAAAACAAAACCAAAAACCTGTTCTTATTTTGTTTTTTTGAGGCAGTGTCTAGTTCTGTCACCCAGGCTAGAGTGCAGAGGCACAATCATGGCTCACTGCAGCCTCGACCTCCTGGGCTCAGGTGATTCTCCCGCCTCAGCCCCCGGAGTAGCTGGGACTACAGGTGCATGCTACCACACCTGGCTAATTTTTGTACTTTTTGGTAGAGATAGGTTTTCACCATGTTGCCCAGGCTGGTCTCAAATTCCTGGGCTCAAGCGATCCTCCCACCTCAGCCTCCCAAAGTGTTGGGATAACAGACATGAGGCACAGCACCTGGCCAAATAACCTGTTCTTATAAGAAAAGGGGTGCCCCTAATACCCCTGTAAGCTCCATTAGCCTTTCTTGGCTTCCCCAGATACTACATAAACACAGTCTAAGTAAAAACAATATATCTGCCATGCTAACACAAGTTTAAAACCGGTCTCCCAGCCTTCCCTGTCCAATCAGACTGTAGCCCCTCAGCCCCTACTACAGGGCAGTTCAGGAGCCACCTGTTATGAGTTAATGTTGGAGGAGTATGCGAGAGAACAAATCGCTGATTGGGGTGGGACTGTGGAGGTGGAAGCTGATATATGCATTGCTTCTCACCACCTACCTGCTCTCCCCATGTCCAGAAGTTAGTATTTAACCAGAAAGCGTGAAGCCTGCAGAAACTGGATTCAGGGCCCAATTTTGGCACAAACTTCACCACACCACCCAATAGTGTGGGTGGACCAGCTAAAATTTGTTCATGAGATTACCCCTGAGTCTCCTTCCAGATGGATCCTAGGCTCTAGTGATTTGTACTAACATTCTTCTTCCAAACCTCCATTTCATGGGCCCTAAAAAAGCTCTGCCTGCTTTCTGTGCCGATAGCGCTCACGCAAGCATGGTTAATGTCCCTAAAACCCGCTAGACTTTCTGTAAGAAGTGTGGCAAGCACCAATCCTTTCTGCAAGAAGTGTGGCAAGCACAAAGCGACACAGTACAAGAAGGGCAAGGATTCTCTGTATGCCCAGGGAAAGTGGCTACCGGTATGACAGGAAGCAGAGTGGCTATGGTGGGCAAAGTAAGCCGATTTTCCGGAAAAAGGCTAAAACTACAAAGAAGATTGTGCTAAGGCTTGAGTGTGTTGAACCCAACTGCAGATCTAAGAGAATGCTGGCTATTAAAAGATGCAAGCATTTTGAACTGGGCGGGGATAAGAAGAGAGAGGGCCAAGTGATCCAGTTCCAAGTGTCATCTTTTATTGTGAAGACAATAAAATCTTGAGTTTATGTTCAAAAGAAAAAAAAAAAAAAAACCTCTGCTGGACAGGATGCCCTGGATGACTGGATGAGGAATATATCTGCCAGACCTTCTTCAGGCCACAGCAAATGAGTAGACTTCTACCCGATTCCTTTTTCTCCTAACTGGCCTGGAAATTTGCAAGGATTTGGAAATTTGCAAATTTCTTCTCTATCTTGTCTATGAAGTAATTACTCCTGAGTTTGAAGGTGGTTATCTGTTTGCAGAAACAGTTTCATGTCTTGGGAATCAAATAGCCCAAATTTGTTATGCAAATCTTATACAAAAATTAGGTAAATTACAATTCTGGGCCAGGACTTCCAGCATCTCTGCATTGTAGCACCTGGAAGGGAAAGAATATCTGATCTTTCTTGCTTTAAGTCGGTAGGTGTATTTGAAATTAAGCAAGCCCATCTATATCTGCTTAACTGGGGATTTGCTGTGGTGTTTCGGGGCCACACAACTTAATTCTGAATGTCAGACATCAGTCCCATGAACAGCTTGCCCTCTGGGATGTGCAGTTTTCCCTCTTGTGCCTTTCCAGTTATAAACCTCTGTGTGTGTTGTGGAGTTGGGTGTACGTAAATGATTGGCATTAGATTAGCAAAGACTTTCAAGCATTGTAAGTAAATAGGAAACATGAAGACCCACAAGCCACCCTCCCCAGCTTCATGTCAGGCCTCTCTCCTCTTTTTTGTCCTGGGCCAGCCAAGTGGCCTGATTCCCTTCTTTAAACTCTGGCTTCTCCCTCCCACTCTAGGGTCTGTGTGGGTACCACAGATCCCTGTCAGCAAGGCCTACCTCTTGCCTGCCCTGCTTTCTTCAACTCTCAGCTCAAATGCCACTTCCTCAAGAAATCCTTTCCTGACCACCTCTTCCCGTTCTAGGTCAGGTATTGAGGCTATCTTAACCCTTAAAAAAAGGTCAGCTTGAGGATTTGTCCTTACTGTGATTCAGGAACTTAATTATCTCTCTGCCTGTGCTCCATCTCAGGAGAACCAAAATGTTATACCTGGGCTGCTATAACTAACCTTAACTGGGTAATTGCCAATTAATAGAAATGTATTTCTCACAGCTCTGAAGCCTGGGAAAACCAAGACCAAGGTGCCAGCAGCTTAGGTGTTGGGCAAGAGCTCTCTGCTTCACAGATGGCACCTTCTCACTGTGTCTGCACAGGGCAGAAAGGGCAAAAGGGCTCTCTCAAGCCTCCTTTATAACCCAATTGCCTCCCAAAGTTCCCACTTTCTAATACTATCACTTTGGTAATTAGGTTTCAACATAAATTTGAATTTTGGAGAGATACAAACAGTCAGACCATAGGATTCTTTTCTTCACAGTTGTACTTAGACATCTGTGTGATAATTTGATGAACATCTGACTCCTCTATCTGAGCTGCCAGAAGACAGTCTTGTCCTGTGTCTCCCAAAGCCAACCACTTACTAGCACAGAGTAGTTGCTCAATAAATGAATTTGCTCATCTCCAGATATATATTTCAACATAAGGTCAACTTGAGGATTTATCCTTACTGTGATTTAAGTACTTAATTATTTCTCTTCCTCTGCTCCATCTCAGGGGAACCAAGAGAGTTTTCTAGCTAATAAGCCTGGCTGAGCTTCAGAAATGCTGCAAACAAGTGTATTTTCTACCCAAACTTCACCCTCCAGAATCACCTCTTTAGAATTCTGTGCTTTTCCCCCTCCAGATTTCTGTGCTTGCCACCCTTGGAGTCCAGAGCCTCAAACATGTTTTTTGTTTGTTTGTTTGTTTGAGACAGAGTCTTGTTCTGTCACCCAGGCTGGAGTGCTGTGGTGCAATATTAGCTCCCTGCAGCCTCTACCTCCCAGGCTCAAGCGATTCTCATGCCTCAGCCTCCTGAGTAGCTGGGATTACAGGTGCACGCCACCACACCCAGCTAATTTTTATATTTTCAGTAGAGACAGGGTTTCACCATGTTGGCCAGTCTGGTCTCGAACTGCTGGCTTCAAGTGATCTGCCTGCCTCGACCTCTCAGAGTGTGATCATATTTTGAGTCAGGCCTTTCTACTTGGTTGTGCTGCAGTGTTCCTCCAAAAAGAATCCTTGATTATATATTTCTGTTTATAATATGATATATTATAATATATATTATATTATATATAATATATATATTATACATTATTATATATTTCTGTTTATAATATATTTCTGTGTCTTTTATGTGTGCATGGTGCCCAGACACACGGTGGAGGGCAAGGGAGCCGAGTGATAGAATGAGGAGATTTTTCCCCTTCAACTTAGTAACAGGACAGTCAGTCAGAGTTTAGTATGGGGGTTACTTTTCCACTTGCCATCAGTTTTAGCAATTCCAGGAAAATTCTACTTAAAATCTAAGTCCAGCCATCTCCTTTTCTTTACTTTTTGTTTTTCTCCCGTTGTTTTTCAGAAGGGAGGCTGCTGGAGAAACTCTATTTTTCTCCCCCACTTTTCCAGGCTGGGCAGGGTTCCTGAAGCTGAAGCCCTGGCCTCCCAGATGCTGAAAGGCTTCCCCAGAGACCGCGTCTCCGCCCAGGAAGCACTCGCTCACGATTATTTCAGCGCCCTGCCATCTCAGCTGTACCAGCTTCCCGATGGTGAGCGAGGAAGTGTGTGCCTGTGTGCGTGCGTGAGTGCGTGTGTGTGACTGTGTGTGTGTAAGTCTTGGTGTCTTAAGTAGTTTGCCTCAGCACCGAAGAACCATAGCATTTACCCCCAGGAGTGAAGTTAGAGATCTATTTGCCTGGGAGAAGCAAGATAGGACCCAATGTTGTCTGAGTTTTGCATGAGCTTCTCTCAAACTCTGAAGCACTGGTGGGGAGAGGTTACAAGGACCTCTTTGTAATGGTGCAGACATTTCACAGGTACACATTTACACTCAGAAATTGGATGAGATGGACGTTGTCTCTGAGTTGTTTGGCTTAGCTACCATCTGCCAGGAAGCCACACCAGTGTTTCTAACAAGACTCTTCTCCCTTTCTGCAGAGAGTAAGATGATAGGTGAAGCGGATATGTCCTGAGAGGGAGCTGGGCCTTTCTTGATTGGTAACAGCAAGCTGCAGAAGGCAGTGCCGGGGTGGGGTGCTGGGGGAAGGGAGGCCTCCTCCCAGGCTGCCCACCTCCTGTAAACACAAGTTACCCTAGAATCAGCCTTTGCTGCCTGGGCCTGAAGTCATCTTCCAAATCTGAAATCTGCTGAGGGATCATGTGGTTGGAACTCCCGTCATGTTTCTCGGACTGTGGCCAGGAAGAGCTACAGGAGGATGTGGGCAGTGGTCATGGGGGACTATCCTTAGGTGAGGTTTCTTTGAAAAAATCCACCATTCAGCTAAAAATAGTTTTAGGAACAAGGGACAAGTAGACAGGAAAAGCAAAGCTACCAGGAAAGTAAAACAGAAGAAGAGAGAGAAGCAGCCAGGGTTGGTTTTAGAAGTCCTAAGCCAGAGAAAAGAAAGCTTAGGAGGGAGGGCCTAAGGGCTGAGACTGGGATGAGGACACTGGAAGGGATGTGGGGGAGTGGTGATGGGGTGCCGTGAGATAAGGATGGGGACAGGGTGAGGAGCTACTGCCCAAGAGGTGTGGAAACAGCCTGGTCCGCCTTGCCAGAGTTTGCAGACGCAGCTCCTCTGTGTCTAGGACATCATCCTGCAGCAGTCCAAAGCGCTTAGTTTGGGACTTGTTGAGGCATTCTATTTTATGACTAAAGTGAGTCATTTAGGATCTCCAAAAATAACCATAATCATACAACTGAGGTTAATGTCTTACTTAACCCTGTAGAAAGAGTCAGTCATTAGTATTTATTAAATTGCCATTAAGTGTCAAGAACATATTAAGTGCTATAAAAAATGGAGGAAAACAAGAGACTTGTCCTTGGCCTCCAGGATCTTACGAAGTGGGAGGAAAAGAGGGCGAGGAAGAGGAAACGGGGCACCCTCGCACACATATCAGCGCAAATCATATCTAAACAGCTAAAAATCTGTGCATAATCAACTGCAGATGTGCAGAGACTATGTGTGTGTTGAAGGCAATTCTTTGGAGGAACAAGAATAATTCAAATGAGATGGATTAGACTGGAGGTGAATCTGAAGTGGAATTTGGAAGGAGGAGAGAGGCAGGGGTTAGCATATGGGTGGAACAAAAGATATTGCAGGCAGATCCACAATTCTCACTCCCTTCCTGGTACCTCTGCCCCCACTTTGGCCCCATTCCTCCCTGGCCACTCCCATCCCAATCCCCTCTTCCCAGTCCAAGCTTCTAGATTGTTCCTTTTCAGCTTTCTCCTCTCAGGCTTGGGACTTATAACTCTACTACTTCATGCAAGTGTACACGCTTGGATGTACACGCGCACACACACACACACACTCTCTCACTCTCCCTTCTCTCCACTTAAAGAAACTTGCCCCGTTGGCCCTCCTTTAGGATCTGTTATTCCACATGCTGAGAATTGCTGGGGATCTTCAAAGTTTTCTAGGCTCCAGCTTTTGCCTGACGCAGGTTGATTAGGAAGAAACACTCACTGTCCAAACTGATGTGTTGTTAGAAACGTGGGTTTTGATTTTTCCTGGCTGACCCAAAAGCAAAGCCACCAACAGAGGGGCCCTGGTGCATGGATGTCTAGGGTTGTGTGTGTATGTGTGTATATGTGTGTGCGTGCGGGTGTGCGTGTATGTATGAGAGACAGAGAGAGAGAACAATCTGTATTCCTTCCCTGTTCACCCAGTCACAGAGCCCAAATCTACTTTGACACTTTTAGAAAAATGAAAAGATGGAATCTTGCAGGAGGCTGCCTGCACTAGTGGGGGAGACCAGGAGTGCTCACAGCAGGAGGGAAGTTGACTTTTCTTTATACATATAGGGGTTTTTCCATGCAGAGTTTAAATTATGCCTGATAAAAGGAGTTTCGTGGATGTTTCAGTTCTTTCAAATTCTCCTGGCTTCCTCCCAATTAAATGAGGTTTGTCAAAGCCACAGGGCTCTGCTGCTGCTGCCTCGGCGGACAAGCATTTCCTGCAGCGACATCTTGAATCCCCGAGGGAGAAGATGAAAGGGCCGGTGCCAAGAGACAGGGGAAGGCGGGGGCAAGATTGGGTGTGTGTGCCTCTGTGTGTGTGTGCTTGTGCACTCATGTGCACGAGCGTATGTGTGTGCTTGTGTATGTGTGTGGCAGGGTGGTGGGCATGTAGAAATATGTATAGAGACAGATGGACAAGTAGATAGAAAAAGCAAAGCTACCAGGAAAGAAAAATAGAGGAAGAGACAGAAGCAGCCAGGGCTGGTTTGTGCACCTTCGTGACAGTGGCCCTCACCACCAGCACATAATCTACTAAGAGATGCGGTCCTTGGCCTGGCAGTGCCAGCCTGCTTTTTCATTGCCCCTGGCAATGAGCCTTTATTAACAGCCTCCTTTGCAGACAGAGCGTACCAGTGGGTAACCACAGTTCCCAACCTGCAGGGACATAGAAACTCCATCCCTGAGGAGGGCTGCCCCAGGCATGAGAATTGTGCAAAAATCGGCATGCTCTTGTGAGTGATTTGTAAGAAGAGTTTCTCTGCCATAATTATGCAAGAAATTTTGCTCTCTGGTGGCATTTTAGTATACAATTATTTAAGGGCTATATTTATATCATTTTATTATTCTGGTTTTCTTCTGGTTGCAGGATAACAGAGTTGTCACTTTAAAATACATTCTGTTTCCCCTTTAATCTGGAAGATGCCAGCTCTTATTGTCTGCCCTCTAAAGAAGACAATTAAAGCATAAAGCCTGGGACTGGGAAATACGTGGAGAGTGGAAGGACAGCCTAAATCTCAGTGCAGGAGCGGCATAGAAATTCCGCACAAAATGAAAGAATTGTTCCAGTCCATCTCTATTTTCATGACGCTGAGAAGTCCCGAACAACCCTTTCCCTAGGTTGTGGCAGTATGCTTAGAGTCAAAGGGCATTTATCAGGGGGTTATTTGCCATGAAAACCAGGAATTCCAGGATTAGTTTCCTTTTGGACAGCACCTGAAGTGGAAAAGTGTGAATATTAGAATGGCAAGCGTGTGGGAACTTCTGCCAAGTTCTGACATTTTCCCTCATTGACTCGTGAACACCTGAAGAAACACTTGTTGAAGGAGAAATTATTGGTAGTCCCTCTCAAAACACAGCCAACGGCAAGCTAATTGCTTTTGCAGATGGCCAGGGAGTCTCTCTTCCCACTCAGACATCGGCTTATGGCCACACTTGTGGTCCTCGTGGCTGAGCCAGCAGGGCAGGACGTCAGCTGGAGCAGCTAGGACCTAAAATTAGGCCCTTGGCAACTCTCTAATCTTAGCTGCAGGTTCACTTCTTCATTTAATTCCCTTTGCCCTCAGCATGAACTTGGGCTCTGGGAAAGGAACACTGTTTAATGATTTGGGGGTGGGGGTAGTAGAAAATCATTAAGCTGCCCCTTCTCAGAACTGGCTCCGCTCTGTTCTTGCAGGAAACCTTCCAAATGTTACCCTTGGAAAGTTAAGACTGATTTTGGAACCTAGCCATTTTGAACTACAGACACTGATCCACGAAAGTATTTTTTATCTGAGGCAGTAAATGACACGTGATTTAAGAGTCTGGTCCTTAAGCCATGGTCCTTGATCGTCAGGACATCAAAGGCTGTCTCTCTTTCTCTCTCTCTCTCTCTGGGTTGGTCCCATTTTGCTTGTTAGCCAAGTCTCATACTTGAGTCTCCCATTCCTTCCTGAACTAAATCCCCTTCTCCTTTAAAACGGGTTTTAGCATCTTAGGGGGAAAAAAATCTTAAAAGCTTGCAATTGTTCCACAAGTAATTTTGCAAAAATGCTGTACCACAGGCCCCATTGTTAGTGTATACTTATGTACACATAGGGATGGAAGAAAGCATGGCATTTACCTCTACCTTTGATCACACCACCCCGATACCTATACTCTGAAAGTTCTTCAGCGTGCCCCATTGCCCTGTTAAAATCTGAGTTGTATTTTGTTTTGGTTCAATGAAAGAACTTCAGGCCTCTTCTTTGAGTGTTGTCTCCTTAATATATTCGAAGGTCCCTATGATATCACTTCCCAAAGGCCACTTTAGGCTGAATTCCTTGAACTTTTGTTTCTGAATGCAAATTCTGTTTCTCCCACTTTTTAGTCATTTTGTTTTATTGTTCTCTTCTGAATCTGTTCCAATTCTTTTGCTTATGTCTGAGAATATGGAGGCAGCTTAGACTCAAATTTCTTACATGGTGGGAGAATCATGTTCCATTCATTCATTGGAGGTTTACTGAGTGTCTATGAGGTGCGATATTAAAGGATACAAAAATGAATTCATCATGGACCCTGTCCTCAAAGAGCTTACAGTCCTTTAGGAAATAAGACAAGTATATAAACAGCTGCAGATCAAGTAAACAAATAAAGTGCTCTAAGTGTTCGAAGGAGGTGAGATTAACTCTAGCTGTGGGGATCCAGGATGATTTTGTGAGTGGGCCTTGAAAGATGATGGGTCTGGATGATTGGGGAGGAAGGGCATACGGGGAAAGGAATGTCATGTTCCTCTCAATACCATCTAAGATCATTCCGAAGTTGTCTTATTTTTAATAATAGTGGCTCAGT